GAGATCCCCGTGTTGGCACAAAGAGCTTCTAGGGGGTCTCCGCACCGAAAGTAAAACATCCAGGCAATGCAAGGACAGGCCAAGGAAACAGCAAGGACAAAATCACAGCGGCAAAGGTAAAAAATGAGCTGGTGAGGGAAGTTAAGGACAGCAAGACGAGGGTCTGCAAATGCACTGATCAGAAAAGACAGACCATGGAGGCTGAGTCCACAGCTAATAGGCACAGTGAGCTTTTAACAGGAGCTGAAGAAGGCAGAGCTACTCGAGAGCTGCATTGCCTCAGTCTTCACGAGAAAGACAGACTGCATCAAAGACCTAATAAAGATTATGTAGACTAGACAGGCAAGCACCTAGGGGTTGCGATGATGAATGAGATTGTCGGAGAGCTTGCAATGGGGCTGAATGAGTCCAAGTCAGCATGCCTGGTGACCTCCGTCCCCTGGTAGAGATCTCAGAGCCCTGGGCAACAATATCTACCTAGTCATGCGCATCAACTCGTGTCGTGCCCCTGACAATAGACAACTGGCCCAACAGTCACAAGCAAAGGGTGCTGGGATGGCAGAAGGCTTTGAGTGCATCCTGTTGTCTCTAATCCAGATTTCCAATCTGCTGAAGTCCTTCTGAATTGTATTTGTGTCCTCCAACTGCCCTGTTTTGTGTTGTCTGTACACTTGCTCTGGAAGCATCCAGATCATTAACAAACCCATTGACAGCACCAGACTCGGGACAGGGCCCTGTGGGACTCCACTCAAAGCCTTCTGCCATCTCGTGAAGACTCAGGCATTCGGTGCTAATAAATGCAAGGTGCTGCACCTCGGGAAGCACAAATACGTCGTGGTGGAGAAGGATCTCTGGGTCGTGGTGGATCACAGACCCAGCATGAGTCTGCAGCGTGAGACATGCAAACGAGGTGAATGCAGTTTTGGATCAATAGAAACATTTGGTGCAAGACAGGAGATAATAGCGCCTCTGCTTGGCACTGCCAAGGCCTCGCCTCAGGACTGCATGCAGTTCTGGGCTCTCGATTTAAAGAGGACATGGAAAAGTTAGAGAGGGTCTGAAGGTGGGTGACAAAAATTTAAGGGGCTTAGAAGGAAAGTCCCACGAGGAGAGGTTGAGAGTAACAGGCACGTTCAGCTTGCGGAAAAGGTGTTTGAGAGGAGACAAAACAGCAGTCTTCAAATATCTGAAAGGCTGCCATTAAGAAAAGGGAAGACAATTTTTCTCCCTCGCTGCAGAGAATAAGACAAGTAGCAATGGCCGAAATTGCAGCAAAGTGGGGTTAGACCCCACATCAGGCAAAACCTCTTTATTGTCAGAAGAGCGAGGCAGCGGACTAGGCGCCACGGGAAGCTGCGCAAACTCCTTCACTGGCGGTGCTCAAGAAGAGGTCGGACAGGCTTTGTTCAGGGCTGATCTGGCCACGAGCCTTGCTTGGAGATCACGAGAACAGCGCGCAGTCCGAAGCAGGTGGATATGGAAGAATAAAGCCAAGATCAACTATCTTGGCTGTAAAAGAGATCAACTATCAGCAGAGATGCCAGAACGTGGAGGCAGAGCAGGGCCAGGATAGACCTGGAGTTGAGCGTCAACACCGGTGAAGCAAGGAAGCGCGGGAGGGCCAGGAGCAAACACCTGGATCTTTGTCTGGGCACAGCGCTGCGGGCTGGGCCCTGGCAGGCTGCAGCGGTGGGGCCCGGGGCCTCAGGGACTGGCCACCCCGACTGCCCCAACCGGCCCGGCTGGGCCCAGGGCAAGTGGCGGCTGCTTCCCTGCAGCCTCAGGGGACATGTCTGTTCTCCGATTGGGACTGGCTGTGCCTAGGTCTGGTCTGGCCTCGTTGCACACTCCTCCAGCTACAGAGGAGGGCAAAACCCCCGCAGTCTGCACCAGTCTCAGCACGAGGTAAACTCCTTCCTGACCCCAAAAGGCACCGCCGCTATGTCCCAGCAGCAGCACTGGCACCCCGTCAGACCCCCAGCCTCGGCTGCAGCTGACACGCGTCTTCTGAAGAAAGTGAATGCCCCCCTCCCACGGCAACAGGGAAAAAATCCCTTCCTGGCCCCTCGTGGCAACCAGAAAAGCCGAGGAGCCCGGGAACGCGACCCACGACCCCCCTCCACTGTGCGCCGCAACCTGGGCCCGCAGACACAGCTCCACGCGTGGCAGCACTAGCCGAGCGCCAGGGCCGTCGGGAAAAGGGCTTCCCACCGAGCCGGGCAGCCCTGGGGAAGCCGTCCGACTCCACCAGATGCAAGGGTCGCTTCTCCGAGTCCCACCTCCTGACCGGACACGGTCTCCCACCCCTCCGAGTGAAAAGTGACTCTCCTTATTTGTGACCAGCTCAGCGGCTTGGAAGAGCGAGCGTCAGATGGCAGGATGTGCCGAGACACCCAGCCCGCCCAGGACCACATACGCTGGACAGACATCTGCATCTACCCCATCACCGGGACCATTCACCCTCTCCCAAGAGAAACAGCACGCCCCGACTTGGAGCCCGCCTGCCCACTCGAAGGCTGAGAGGCTACTGGGTCCCCAGGTCCAGGCTGGCGTCGCCAGTGTGACAGCGGACAAACCCCAGATTATCCCCAAAAGGCGACAAACGGGGTGGTGGGACCAGCCCTTGGCTCACCTGAGAGGATGAAGAGGATGCCCCCTGCGATGGCAATCCGGCTTTTCGCAACGGGGTTTTCATCCCCGACTTTTGTGCACTTCATTCCCGCCACGCTGACGATGATGCCCAGGAAGCCCAGGAGGATCGCCGCCACCATGAGCGCGCGGGACGTCTGGATGTGAGCTGCAAGGCAAGAGGCCAGCGGGTCAGCGCCTGCACCGCAGACGCCCAGCCAGGAGCGTCCTGCCGTTCGCCACGCACTGCCACGGGGCCAGTGGCGCCCGGGTCCTGCGCTCGCGTGCACCTTGCTCCCGTGCAGCTCACGGCTCAGCCCTGCCCCCGGCGGGCGGGCGGGCGGGCGGCGCCCC